GTTCAGTTTCAAAAAAAGAAAATCAAAATGAGGCGGCAGGTATTATTGGACGGGCCGCCAGAATGTGTGGGAAACCCTGAGTTTCTTTGACCAAATTTGTGTCAGTGTTCACCTCACATCTGACTGTCTGTATCCACTATCGTCCTCCTAAAAGTTCATTTTTTTTGGTTCGGCGGCTTATGAAATTAAGTTCTGGGTTCTTTACTCTATTGATAGTGCATCTTCCCATACATCAGCTTTTTGGCATTTTTCTTTTGTTTGCTGGCAAACAGAATTGACAAGGAGGCACCTTCAAGCATATAAAGTCAGTGGAGAGTGATACATTTGTTTCCCCTCTGGTGTGGGCAGGACATAATTTTTCTTTGTCTGTGCTTTTGTTTACACTTGTTATCAGTTCAAGCAAAGTTTATAGTTCTACTATAATTTGCCTGCACCCTAATGTAATCCTGCAGTTATCATAGCAACTACTGATTACCCCTTCATCACGCCAAAGCTGAGCAGACCACATTAAAACCAGCTCCAGACCAGGGTCATGAAGCCAGATCAGAATGTGTGCTGACCCATTCATACCAACAACAAACACAGTTTCATCCTGGGTCCATGCTTTGGGGTATCAGTCTGACAGCCAGCCAGCCAGCCAGTCCTGTGGTTCGCTGTATTCTCTTCCTGAGGCCACCCACAGCGCTGCGGTCTGGCCGGCACTAGCCTGAGGAGGGTAGGATCACACCATCTGACCTTCTACCTCTCTGGATTACACAGAAATCCCCTCTCACGCTGTCACAGCCTTGCCTCTGAGACACACACACACACACACACACACTCACCTCTGAACACACCAGTGTGTGCACAACATACGCTCCAACAATGATATCTAAGGATTTTATGAAGTTAATTATTAATTATTAGGGTTAATCATCACCTATGATAAGAATGCTGTTAATACGTTCTGTCTCAGCAGAGCTTGTGTGCAATTTATCTGGTTTTTGATGACTGACAGAAATGTCAGTAGTTTGGATGTAATGGAAAACTTTGGAAGGATGCCAGGGGTGGGTCTTTGAATGTGTGCATGTGTTTGACTATGTGCGTACGGATGTGTGCATGTACATGCGTTTGTCAGCTGGTGAGTAATGGTTTTCTGCCCAGATGACTGTAATGCCACATGGATACCTGAGCCAGACTTTTCCATAGTGAAGCCCAGGGATCACATGTCCCTCCAGCCTCTGTGGTATGCACTAACAGACAGAGCTGCAAAAAGAGGGGGGCCCGGCTGAAAACAGTCCGGGATAAAAACAAGCCTCTGAACGCATCGCTGCAATGATAGCCCGCCACCGAAATAGCCCTACTACCAGCCCTCTTTCTCAGAATTCTGCAGGGCCGGCGGCAACGTTTTAGATACTTCTGTCATAGTCTCAATGCTGACTGCCAGTCTCATGCCCAGTTTGTTTCAGTCCTGCAATTACCATCCTCTTAAACTTTCCGCTGCTGTTTAAGCTCAAGAGTACAGTTGTCAGACTTTGCTCATATATAGATACATAAACGCTGTAATTTTGATTCAGGCATGTTACTCTGTGTTTGAGAGCTATGCTGTGGATTTGCACCGTTAAATATGTTTGTTTTTATGTGACAAAAATATGATAGTTCTCCATTATATGACTTGAAACAGTGATTTATGTGTTTTGTTCTGTCTTTTTTCTCTTTCCAGGACTCCGTGCATGAGGCATGTGCAGAGAGGATCGGTGATGAACACTACCGCTTAGAAGGTAGGCCTATCATCAAGAGCTTCACCATTTCATGTCACTGATTTGATCCCCTTTATTTTGATTTGAATGAAAACCTGCAAAAATACTGTTATCAGTTGTCCTACAGGTACTTGTGTGGTTCTTTTTTTTTGGTTGTTCATCCTTTCCCCTCTGCTCCACACCCATTCTCTAAACCCCAACAATGTGCTGATGAGGTCCCTTTTACCTTCCCTCCCGCCTCTCCTCCTCCTCCGCCTTTCATCCACCCCTCCCCCCGTGGTGCTCTGCAAAGTGCCTCCATTCCTCCATGTTTTTTCCCCGGTGTGATGTGATCCTGGATTAAGAGCTCCGGGAGGAGAAAGTCTCTCCCTCCCATTTAAAGACAGGATTGGACGTGAGGCGGAGGCAAAAATGAGGAGTTGAACGAGACCAGCCCAGAATTTGGAAGCGTGGCAAAAAAAATCACTTTTATTTTAGCTCTGCTTCACTGGATAATAGACAAAGTTAAGAGACATGAGATAACGAGACTGATTAATGGCGTATGAAATGATTTTCAGTCATTGGGCTGAACCCAAGTCTGGGCTGAGGTTGTCCTCCCTTCAAGACAGATGTTGCTAATTAGAACATGCTGCTCTGATCATTCTCAGTGATTAAAAGACAAGGGCCCAAATCATTTGCTTCAATAAAAACATTCCATAGATTATGTGGGAATATTTACATCATACAGACCTGAAAAAAATTGAATTTTCCCCTTGAAGTTACCAAGGCAATCTCATTCATTGACAGTGAGCAAAGAAAGATAACTGACGTTTGTGGGTGGAGAAATGTCACAGCTTTGAAGTGGGCTATATTGCAGTCTCAGCCAGGGACAATGGGACTCACTTTTTCTACAGTACTTTACAGTGCAGATGAAGTTGAGTGGAGGTTTATCAACAGTTGTTTGTTTCATACCAGCAGGCTGTTCTCAAGCTTCACACTTTTGAAAATGATGTGAGTTTTAGTTAATGAGGCAGAGTTCGATATTGTCTTCCAGAAGAATTGTGAGATGTTCGATTTGTAGCTACTGAGTTATTGTCCATTAATGAAAACAGTTTCTTATCTGAATGGTTCTTGCACGTAGGCTTGTTGTACCTCCTCGGGCACACTGCGACCCAAATAAAGACAGCTGTGGAGGATTTGTGATGTCCCCTGCATGGATCCATTGTCCATACATGTAAGAAAGACAAGTTTAAGTTAACAGAGAGGAAACAGAGAGATCAGAGATTATAGGACAACAAACACACATAAAAGCCTTCTTTCCTCTGGGTTTAAGGAAGCACTTGGTCAATGTCAATGTCAATGTCAGCTTTATTTATATAGCACCTTTAAAACAGCCAATGGCCAACCAAAGTGCTTTACAGTTAAATAAGCAAGAACAACAACAACACACAAAAAACATTTATACAGTGAAATATAACAAAGGTAAAAGACCAAATAGAGGTGACTGTACTCAACCAAAGGCCAAGGTGAACAAGTGAGTCTTGAACAGTGATTTAAAAGTGGAGAGGCTATTCGCAGTCCACACAGTCAAAAGTAATGAGTTCCACAAAGTGGGAGCCGCGACTGCAAAGGCTCGATCTCCTCTAGTTTTTTACAGTGATTGAGGAACATCCAAGACCATCTGATTTGCTGACCTGAGGGCTCTGGAGGACTGATGCAACACAACACAACAAGGTCAGAAAGGTATTCCAGAGCCAGCCCATTCAGAGACTTAAAAACAAATAAAAGAATCCTGTACCTAACCGGAAGCCAGTGAAGTGAAGCGAGTACCGGAGTTATGTGCTCCCGTTTCTTTGTCCCAGTTAGGAGATATTAAAACGTAAAACTTGCTGGCAAAAACTGCAAAGGATGGAAGAAGGGAGGAAAGTGTCTTCAGGATACTCTCTTTAACCTTTAGTTAACAAGAGAGAAGTTTGTTGAAAACAGTCTTCATCAGCACCTTGTTTCATATTACACTTGCTCACATGTGGGTTTCCCAACAGTCTTGTCCTGTGGGTCACAATGTAGATTAGATGATTAAGTTCCTTGCTCAGGAGTACTTAAGTGGTGGTTGCTAAAGGAAGAGATATGCTATGATCACAACAAAGGCCATCCCATCCTTGCCATCCCATATTTCCCTTAGTACCCAGCACTGAGCTACCCCAGTGTTTGAGCTGGGACAGGCCCAGTTATGTGTAATACAGTAGCCTAGCTAAGCTGGGTGTGATTGCGCACAGTGTGTGGCAGCTTTCCCGACGTGCCTTCGTTTCTGTGTGTGTTTGTGTATGTGTACTAGTGTAAGCGTGCAAGTGTGTGTAGCATGGCTGCTGGAACAGGCTTGGCTTGGAGGGTGCCCGCCTCGGCTGCCCTCGTCTTGCCCCTCAGATCTGATGTGCAGCCAATCCCCTGGCTCAGCTCCTCTCATAAAGAGTCGGCTTATGTCTGTGATGGGGGGGCCAGAGGGGGAGCAGGGTGATAGCAGATTACTGTTACTCCTCCCGGCATTTCATTAGCTCCGAGATAAGCATCTCACCACCATATTGAGCCTGCTACGGAACAGATTTGCCCTCGCACACAATGTTCCCTTTGAGCACCTCAGATGATCAAACAGCGGGACCCCAAATGCTGCTCCTCTCCAAAAAGTTGGTAAAAGCTCCCTGGGATGATTCCTTTCATTTCTGGCATTTTCCCCTACCCAGGGATGAGACAGGTCTGCTTTGATCTGCTTTGGATCAGGAGGAAAGAAATTGGGCTGTTGTGTCTGCTCCGTTGGCGAGCAAACAAACAGTGTTTCAGATTTGACTTGGCTTAATTAATTAGTGATTCTGTTTTACAGCCGGTCTGATCTTCTTCCAAAAGGTTTGAGAATGAAACTTCAAAGTGTGGCAGAGGAGCAGGGGAGGGTGGAGAGAGAGAAGGGTGTGGTCTGTGTGGGTTTATGGGTGTGTGCGTGGCCTGCAGGACTGTGATTGGACGAGGAGGTGGGGGAAGTGATGCTCACGCAAAGCTAAATGACCAGAGGTGAAACACACAGGGGCTGTGGTTGGGTAAAGGCTGTAACAAGCTTCTGGGAAAATACACACAGACACATGAGGATGAAGCGAGGAGCTGTAGGGGTAACTGTAACTCAAAGAGGCTCGCAAAGGAGCCGACATATACACCGTCCAAATCTCAGTTACTTGTCGTGTGTATCTGCGGTCTCATGTGTCAAACAAATGCTGGATTTCAAAGCAGAGAAGGATATCCGGTAGCATTAGGTCTGGGCCATCATCCAACACTGAAACTAAAACGTTGAACCAGACGGGGACAGTAGTGTTATTTCTGTCCACCAGGCTGGACTACCTTACAATATAATGCAATACAAAAATACACCACCATTAACCATTAATGTTTGATTAACCCTTTTATGACATAGTTGAAAAATATGATTGATTCTCTCAGCCTATAGTGTAACTTGTGCTCACCAATTTCCAAACTGTTTATTAATGCATTGACACCAGTGCACACACAGGTCTTAGATTTGGTGTTAAAGGAGTATGAAGTTATTCACCTGTCACCAAGACATTCACAGTGTGACTCCTGTCTGAAAATCTGTGCTGTGTAGTGTCGTACAGTGAAACTGTAATTGATTTCTATGGTATCGTAAATGTTGTCAGGCCGTACACGAGTGAGTCTGGCTGTCAGATTAAGTGCATATGACAGAGTAGTACTCCCTCTGGACCGTCTGCCTTTACTATATACAGTATGTGGATGGTAATTTACGGTGGATGTCATTTCATAAAGTGATGAGCTCCCAGGGGTCTCCCATAGACCCTTTGATGTTCACATGCTGTTCCACCATTTATATCCAAATGCCACCTAATATTCTATCATGTTTTAGACATGTTATGTCATCCAGTTTCATGTCTGACATCCCCTCACAGTGTGAACCCATTGGAATATATACTGCAGCTAAGAGCTTAAAAGTGTTTCTTTATATGTGGCTGATGGAAGAGCTTTTGCCATTGGAGAATTAGTGCTGTCACAGTTTCAACAATTTTTCTTTTTCCATTGGATTGACATTTTAGATTCCAGTTCCCGTCTTGATATCACTTTTTTGGTTCAGCAGCACTTTGGCTCTCCTGAGTGATCCAGTAATTAACTTGTTGCCTGACATGAAACACTGCACATTAAGGTTTTCAGCCAAAAGTTCAATTAGATTACTGTTTCTCAGATATGGTGTGTTTTCAGAACTGTGGTAGAAGCAACTTCAGATGTTTCAAGAGTATCAGATTTTTGAATTTTTAGATTAGTTTGCTCTGATTGCTTCCCCGTGTTTCTAACATGACATGTTTCAAAAAGTGCATTTTAATTGTGAGTTCCAAACTGTGCTTCAATTTCTGGTCATCTTTGAGTATTTTTTAGAAATATTGTAAATACACTTTACAAGCTCAGTGCATTTGGCTGCAACCTTAATTACCAACTTGGACTTGCTACTTGCACCATTTAAAGAGAAATTTTCTCATGTTTCTGTGTCTTAGGATGCATTCACACGCTATTTGGTCCTCCTTAAATGAACCCTGATCCGCTTCCACGGATAGTTCGGTTTGTTTGGAGTGGTGTAAACGCTTTCTGAACTCTGGTGCGGACCAAATGAAACCCTAGTCCACTTGAAAACTGGGGGTCTCGGTTCACTTGCAAGTGAACCCTGGTGCAGTTTGCGTACAGTGGGAAATGCAAACGGACTATCCAGCGAACCAAAGAGAGGAAGTGAACCAAAGAGAGGAAGCGACGTAGAGTCCAGTGCATTTTGGGTAGAAAAAAACCCAAAGCCAACAGTGCAAACTGGAAGAAAAAACAATTAGGTTTGAACACCAAAGTAAAAACAGAAACCCCAAGACTGCATAAATTTGGTGTTGCGCCATTGTTTTTGTGGTGACCAAGCCGGCTGAAGGGGATGGATTTTGGTCCTAGCCAATAGATGAGTCAGGTAATACAGCCCCCAAACGAGCAGCTGTTGTAATTGCGTGACGTTGTCCAGGCAGTTTGATCCACTTTAAAAAGTGCAGTGTGAAAGTGAACCGAACCAAATGAAGGTATGAAATTTTTCGGCATTCCCAGCCCAATCGAGTCCCCTGGACTATCCTGGTGTGGATGTGCCCTAAGTGATTAATAGGAATGACAATTTTTGAAATTGGTTGGAACAGGCTGCAGTGTAATCCTTCAGGGCAATAGCGCTCAGTCATTTAAGTCCATCAAAAGTGCTTGTTTTTGACGCTGACAGGCTCAGATTTTTATTGTCTGAAAAATTATGGAAACTATCCTACAAAGAAATGAAACTCTGTCTTCACCTTTTGCTTGATCCCGTATGTTTGTTGTTGTCTTTCTGCAACAACTCAACTCTCAAGACTTCAGAACGAGAGCTTTCCTGAAGCGAGACTTGTTAAGTCACAAAAATGAACAGACTGGATCAAGTAATGTAAAGAAAAACATTTCAGTCTTTGACAAGACACTTGTAATGACGATCATAGCCTTTCTGTGGCAAAAACAAGCACTTGTTGTGATGTACATCCAGGTTGCAATATACTGACCTGCCCCATTAAAGTTGGTGATACTCTGTATGCATTACTTATGCTAAACAAATCAGAACCTGTGCTGCCTTTACATTCTTTTACAGTATACATTACTAGTAGGGGTGTCACGATTCTCCAAATTGACTATTTGATTTGACTTTTGATCAATTTTTGAATTTTTCAGTACAGAAGTCTGTGCCATATTTAGACTGTCGAGTCTTAATTCATAAAGATCTACAGATCATAGGTCTTATGCCCTGACAAGTTCTTTACGTTTTCAAAATCTTCTTAAAAAGATACATGGTATCAATTTGCAAGAATTGACGATTCTGATGTGAAAGCTCATTTCAATTGAGTTTTCAATTTAGAATCGAAATCATGACACCCCTAATGACTAATTTACATGCTAACATTAATGTAAAATACAGGCAGTGAGACAAAGACTGAGGAGTTTGGCTGTGAAGGTTTATTTCCAAGGAGCGCTTGAATGTGTGACACATCTTAATTGCGGCTGCCAAACTCGGAAGTAGGAGTTTACAAGGAACACTTGAAGGCGACGACGTATCCTCAGGTTATGACTGCACCCAACGTTTCCATCCTCAGGCTCTCTCTTTTATCTTTGCGTGTGTGTGTGTGTGTGCGTGTGTCACTGCAGTGGCTTTACCCCCAGAGAAGACAGACAGCTGCTGTGTGGAGGAGAAGATGCAGGAGAGGGACAGCCAATCTCCCGCAGGGCCACAGAAACAGCTCCAGTTTGAAGTGAGTGTCAACACCGAACAGGACGTTTATTACCTCCCCTCTGGATGAAACTAGGGCAATGGCAGGACACACACAAATACACACTCACTCACACACCGGATGATACTGATAGTTCAATGCTGTGCTGTTTTAGGAGTTGGAGTGCGCTGTGTCTGTGGAGGAGGATAATCGGCAGGAGTGGACCTTCACCCTCTACGACTTTGACAACAATGGCAAAGTCACCAGAGAGGTAAAGTCTTGGTTTACCTGGATGAATTAACCTTGATGCATGAATGAACATGAAAAAAGTAAACAGACAATAACTACCTGTCAACTGTCAACACCACATGGCATCTTAGTAGAAAGTGCTTTAAAAAGTTTGTGTAATAAGAGGCCTTTAAAACAGTAGATTGATGTCAGTTTTATTGCATCAACAAAATATGAATCAAACATTTCTGAATACACAGAGTTTAAGTGTTATAGGTCGACAGCTCTCAGCTACAACTCACTCTCCTTTTGTGTATGGGAATGAATCAGTAACTTCCCTGTTAAATTTTGCCCTACTCCAGTATCACCACACCCCGAAAAGAAAGTGAGAATGGAAGTTACAAGCCTCTAACCCAATCTCACTCCTAAGAACCAAATCCATGCGACATCTGTGCATTTCCGCTCCTGCGAGGTACCTTGTGGCTTGCGTCTGCCTGGTACAGATCTGAGAGAACATCCAGAAAGGCCCGTGTTTTTTGAGAACAACTTGAAACAGCGCAAAGAGACTGGAGCTGTCCTCTGTGCGGTTGGCTGTGCAGTTTTTTTGGCATTGCCTGTGGCTCCATGGCTCATGAGACGGCAGGCGTCGGCTTGGAGGGGGAAAAAAAAGCTTTCTTCTCCAGCTTTTTTTTTTTTTTTATCCCTTCACACAAATAAAAAAGAGAAGGAAACCAAAAATGACACAGGAAGCTTTTATTTTATTTCATTTTTATTTTTTATTTTTTTCATACAGCACGTCTATGTCTGAAACCAGTATGTGGAACCGGTCCCTAAAGAATTCATAGTAGTCCTTTTTCTTATGAGTCAGAGTATTGTAGTGAGTGAAAATCATGCTGTTGGAGTCTTTTTGTGGTGTAGGCTTAATTCTCCGCAGTTCTGTCAAAGGAGCTCTTGTGATGGAGCTTTTACCTTCGAAAGTGAAACACTAATGAGAATTGAGATACTGACTCGGTTCATTTTGCAGCCGTACCAGCTGACATTTTTAAAGGACAATTAGATTTTTGTTTTGCTATGAAAAAGATCCAGCACAGTTCCTAACACCCAAGAGGGAGTCATTATCTCAGTATGGTGCACAAAAACACTCATCAGTGCAAAAATATAGCCTCTAAACAGCCTCTAGAGACTGCAGTATTTTATGTGCAAATGAAGCAGTCCAAATATGGCCAGTTACCTTGTTCTGAAGTGAGCATGGTATCACTTTTTGCATGTGAATATGCACTCGCATGTGTTTTGGTTTATGTATATATGCTTTTGTGCATTTTTTTCAAAGGTGTTGTCTTCTATGCAGATGTAATTTCAGCCATTTAAAGAGACAGTTAACACAAAATCAAACATGCATATTCTTTCTCTTAACCTGTAGTGCTGTTAATCAATCTAGATTGTTTTGGTTTGAGTTGCAGAGTGTTGTAGATATTGGCCTTCTCACTCATATTCACACACACTTATGGTGCTCAAAGCACCAAAAAATACATTTGATAAACCCAGCAGAAATGTGTCTTTCCAGAAATCATGATCCAATTACTCAGATAATCCGACTTCCATTTATATATAAGTAAATATGCTGAACCCTTGCGATGGTTTCAGAGTTTGCAGTGACGTCAATTATGTTCCGCCTTGTTAGTTCACCGCACGGACAGTTTAACCTGGCAACAACTGCAGCCGGCTCAAACGTGAATAGTCAATATCACACGGACTACAAACAGCCAACAACCAGAAACCAGGGCTCTTCCGCTCTTCTTCCGGAGGCAAGATCTCCAGGGTTTGCCTACAGACTCTACATTCACTGAATGTAGAGTCTGTATATAGAGACTAGTATTTCGATAGCTAGCTCAGTGCAGCTAGGTGAGCTAGCAGTAGATGCACACATCCTTCTGTGTGGTAATACGGTTGACAGGTGTAGTTCGTGAGAAAGAAAATAGTTCCAACATGAGACGGCTCACAACAAGGTCTGTGAATTATCTTGAGTAACCGTATCATGATTTCTGGAAAGAGACATTGCTGTTGCTGTTGTTTTTTTTTTTTGTTTGTTTGTTTTTTTCACTTTGAGCACCATAAGCTGAGTGCTATCTAGTTTTATTACACTTGAGGGACATCTTTACAGAGGGTATCTCCAACACTTGATAACTCACACCAAAATAATCTAAACTGATGAATAGCGCTACAGGTAAGAGGAAAAAAATATGTATTTTCGATTTTGGGGTAAACTTTTCCTTTAAGCGATGTTGAGGAATTAAATGGAGAAAGTGCAGCACTCAAACAGCTGTAACACAACTCATATCAGGCCTGACATCTCAGTCAGCCTCTTCTGCTACCGCCAAGACGTTTCTTTTCATGAATTTATAACTTGTCTTTACACCCTGTCTGATCGTTTCAACTTGGAAAGCCGAACTAAAACAACTGACATCAGTGAGTTTCTCTGTTCACTGTTGTCTGAGTCACTTCTTTAAATTTCTAGCTAGCATGAAGCTTATGATACAGTTTTAATGCACAAAGCAACAGAATTTTGAATTCAAACCGTATAGCAATAAGAATAGTCTCCTGTGCTCCTTTTCTTTTGATTTCTGTAGTAAAATATGCACCACCTTCACCAAGAATCTGAAAGATTTTTTAATACGTGGTGATCAAATGATTCTCAGCTCCCTTAAATGGAAGCTATACATCAAAAAGCCCGGATCAAACTCACATCCACCTCTTCTGTCTTGCAGGATATCACCAGCCTGCTTCACACCATCTATGAGGTCGTGGACGCCTCTGTCAACCATTCTCCCAGCAGCAGCAAGACACTGAGGGTCAAGCTCTCGGTGGCTCCTGACTCCAGCCAGCGGTGGAGGAGTTGCACGCAGGGTGCAGCAGGTAAAGCTCGCATTAACGCAGCGGGCAGGGGCGGGGTAGAGGAGAGGGCGTTTTGGGGTCCCCCTTGTGTTGCCTGCTGTCAGCTCACCCAGAGATGTGTTTGTTGTCGTGCAGAAAGGCGGCTGCTTCAGGCCTGTCAGAGCTTTGTTCCTCGCAGTCTCGGCGTCGCTCCATCTCTCCCACTCAATGGGGTTCATTTTTAATGATGGGGGGAGTGACAGAGCTAAGAGAGGGCCCCCTCCCTCAGCGCCTTCAAATACTCTGAAAGAAACCTTAAGAGATGTGCCGAGTCCTTTTGATAACCACAGCCATTTTTCTTTTCTCCAAAGTTCCCTTTTTTCCCCTCTTCTCCCCCTCTCTTCCTCCCCCCCTTTCTCAGAGCTGCCGGGAAAATATAGCTACGTTCAACTTAACTTTTCTCACTGACGACTTGGTAAACAAGTAGTCAGGGAAAAATATCTCAAAAAGTATATATTCCTGTGTGTTTGCGTCCTATTGTTTCGGCTATAAATATCCGTCAAGAGATTCAAACAGAGCAAGCTTTGAAAATATCGCCGGTTGCCTTCATGCTAATTTGAAACTGCATCAGATCTCGCGTCCTTAATAAACAATTTCTGAAGTCTGAATGTTTTTTTTTTTCTTTCCGTGCCTTATAAGAGGCTGGGAGTTGAAAATAGAATAAATGAAGCATTGTTGTTTTTCCTTTTCTATAGATCTTCAAAGTGAAACCCCAAAACAAAGGTTGCTTTCTTCTAAGGCTTGTGTGACTGTTGTCATGTGTGTGTGTGTCTCTTTCTGAGTGTGTGTGTGTGTGTGCCTGTGTGGCTGCTCTGTGTAGCTCTCTTTGATAATAGCCTCCTGTCTTTCACACATACGCAGACATGTCCCACCCCAGAGAGAAAAATGACAAGTGCATAGAAGACCCCAAGAGTGCAGACAAGAAGACTCGTGCGCTGCTAAGGTAAACCCACCTCATCTGTTCACTTCAGTCTCTATTGTTGAAGCTTGTAGTGTGTACAAGAAGAAGAATATGAAGTTTATTATTATCATATTTTTTTATTATGTCACTGATTATAACATTCACTTTCTGAAAGAGAAAACATCCCCATTCAAAGTGACTGGGGGCAGTGGTTGTTTTAGGAAGGATTCACACTTGGGAGCTGCAGTCGTCCTCTACTCTTTAATTAGCCCAGCCCAAATTTACCTCCGCTGTACTAAAGAGAAGTTAATGGTGGAGGGGAGAGTCAGCCCTCTTACTGCGCTGTTCAAATAATCCCAGTTGAGGTTTAAACCTGTGATTTTCCAGTCACAATCTCACTTCTCTAACAATTACTGCACTACTGCCTGATCATAAGGAACACTTGTTTTACTTTCTCCAAACACTACCATACTGAACCTCTCTGGCCCAAACTGCTACCTAATGAGAGGTGCCGCTTGTGTCCACAGGCGCCACCACAGTGACCACCACACCCAGCCGGGCTGCCAGCGCCACTGTGTGGATGAGAACCTGGAACGCAGGAACCACTACTTGGACCTGGCAGGCATCGAAAACTACACATCCCGCTTCGGAGCCGGTGAGTGGACCGGGGCCAGGGGTTTAGACGGGGAGAGGGGAGGGAGAAACACAGAGCGTGGCCCTTTGAAGCTGCATCCAGGGGCCCTCATTACTGCGGCACCTGCTTGGAGCCATTAGGTGGAACTAGCAGCCCACTGAGCTCCTCGCCAGTACAAACATCTGGGCTAGGGGAAGCACAATACATCAAGTGTTCAAGGCTAAAGCCCATCAACAGAACAGGCTGTTGTGAAGTGAAATATTAGGTCTAATAAGCAGCAGCCTTGATCTGATGGTCAGTGATGACATGTGATTATTTTAATGTTGGTCCTGTTAGGAGAGTGCGAACAGAGATCTGTTGTATGTCACCTTGTGTCAGGGTTATCCGCATGAAGAAAGAACCTGAAGCAAAGCTGCCAGAATCTTATCATGGAGCTTTTTACTGGATCTTTAACAGTGAGCTGTTGGCACAATAATTTGCACATAATGGGTCATTTTTCTTCCCTTTTTCCGGGGCCTTGAGCAGCCTTGCAGTACATTTTTGACAAGTCCAGTGGCTGAATTGTTGTTGTTTCTCCGCAACCTTGAAGTTTGTCATTAATTCTGCTTGCTTAGTTAAATAAATTAATACCTGAGTCTGTCTCCCCACAGCCCCCACCACAGAGCCAACGAAGGCAGAGCCTCAGACCCGCTCATCCAATCAGACTCGTTCTCGCTCCCATGAACCAGAAAATGGCCACTCCCATTCCCACCATCGCCGCTTGCAGACTGTCGTGGACACTGTTGCTCCAGACAGCCTCCAACCTGCTCGTACGCGAGGAGCCCAGGACTCAGGGAAACACGCCCTCCGTTCTCCTAAGACCCACAGCCGCACGCCTCCTGCACAGATCAGCAGCAGAGTGATGAGAAGCCGAGGTGCCCCTCCTCCCCCGGCGCTACCCAGCCAAACCCCCCCTCACCAGTCCGCAGCCCCCTACCGTAAGCACAAGCAGCGGTCCAAGGAGAGCCAGGGCTACAGGGCCTTAGGCTCTCTGGCTCCAGGACCAGTGGTGGAGAAGGAGCAGGTGAGGGACCTGCCCAGCGTGCTGTTGTACGAAGGGGGGCTGGGGCAAATGGTGCAGCGGCATGAGCATCACCACCACCATGAACACCACCACCACTACCACCACTTTTACCAGTCCTGAATTTCCACCCTGTCGGGGACTCAGCTCAGCACTCCTGCAGCACCGCAGAACTCAGACCCTTCCTCCTCAACCACCAGGCCACCCTACATTGTGCAGTACTGCAGTGCCTTTGTAATGGACACAGGACATGGGCAGGAGGGGAGGATCATGGAATGGGGTATCCCAGTGCTGAGAGGTTATTAATCAGTGTTATAAAGAGGTTGGTCAGACAAACAAAAGCTCGGGTATGCAGCAGGACAGTGTGTCAGGGCCACAGCAGGACCAGGACTGAGGATCACAGCTAAGGCTGGAGAGGAGGCACAGAGGGACGATTTGATAAGGTCCTCTTGCCATCGACCCTGTAATCCTCTACCTGATGAACTCTAAGGCTCCGAATCAGCACCACAACCCTTCCAGACCACTAAGCCAAAAGGTTTTTAAGGAAAAGGAGGGATGAGAGGAAGAAAGACTGTGATGTAAAGATGAAAATATATGAAGGAATATAGTTGATAGCAGAGCAGGGCATAGTATGTGTGTGTGTGTGTGTGCGCGCGCGTGTGTCTGTGTAAAACAGCGTGTGAATGTGTGGGCGTAGCAAGAGCGTGTGCATATGCGAGTGTCACGACACTGGTGTCTGTTGAAAACCACTTGAAGTGCGCTCCTGGGTGCGTGAGTATTTAAAGCAGGCTGTCAGGCAGGTTTTTGAAGATGAAAATGAAGATTCTGATTCAAGCACGCAATGCCCCGTAAGCAAAAATGGGTTGGAAAATGTCGACATGTTATAAAGTTAAAAAGAACAGAGATCCCAAATCCGCTGCTACCTCTAATTTTATCCTAATTGTTGTTGTGATGGTGACTTTGACTGAGCGTTCAGAGGTTATTTTCAAATTATTTCGAAACTTTTTTGAAAGAAGAAAAATCGTGTCATAATCCGCAGTACTGAAGTGTCAAAAGCTCCTTACTTTTATTAACTAACATTTGCTGTACATAAGGTATATATTGTTATCAATTTTATAAGCTTTATTGATAATGTGATATCTTTGTATTCACTATCTGAAGCTTTTTATGTTTGTTTTCCTTCACAACCACATTTTATAAGACCACTAGGAGCCTCATTTTGACTAGAAAAAGTCAGTCTCACACTCTGTTTCTGCCTCAGTTTCAACTTTCTCACCATGTCATCAGATATGGAAGTGTGATCTGGTAATGATGCCTGATTGACTAAAATCCCAACTCTCAACAGTGCTGTTCAGGAACTCCACCTCACGACACATACAAGTGCTTTATAGAACGCATGCTTGACTGACCTACACTCTGATATCATGGAAACAGAAAGAACAAGGAATTGTTTTGAGATTCATGGCTGTAGTGTATTAAACACATCAAATTAAGGTCATTTTTAAAATTTAAAGGTCCAGTGTGTCAAATGGACTTAGGTGGATACATTGACAGAAATACAGTGTAATTAAACAAGTGTATTTTTTTGTGTAGAATGACCTGAAAATAAGAATCTGCCGTTGAGAACGAGCTGTCTACATCTAGAGATTGCCATGTTGGCCACCATGTTTCTACAGCAGCCCAGAACAGACAAACCAAACACCAGCTCCAAATAGAGCCATTTGTGTTTTTGCGTTAGCCACCATAGTGAGAAACCCATTTGCGACAAGCAGCATCGGAAAAACCTCCTTTTTTTGACGTGAAACTGCTTTATACAGTGTCTTCACTGATTTTTTTTATTTTTTATCACCAGGTGTGTTTGTTTTGGAGAAGAAGAGACCTCTGTGAGTAATTTGGCTCCTGGTGAAAACCCTCTGAACATCTAAATCTTAAGTTATCAGAGAAAAAAAGACACCACGTCTCATTTACCAAACAGCATTGGAGAAACACAGACTTGTAATGTAAAACTGCTTTATTTAGTGTTTTTAATGACTTAAATCACCGGGTCCATTTGTTTTGGAAAGGAGGAGACCTCTGCGGATAATTCGGCTCCCGGTGAAAATCTCCTGAACATTTGGATCATAAAAAAGGTGAGCACACAATAGCATGTGGTGGGCGAGCCGCCTGTCTCTGACATGTGAAGCAGTGTCAGAAAAAGATTAATTTATAACATGAAACTGTTTTATTCAGTGTTTTTACTGGTTTTAATCACCTGGTCCACTTGTTCTTGCAAGGAAGAGACCTCTGCGGATAATTTGGCTCCTAGTAAAAACCTTCTGAACAATGAACACTGGAGGTATTCTAACCTAAAGTTTCAGCTGGTTGCAGTCTGCGAACCTCAACGCTAGATTCCTCTAAATCCCCCCTAAATCTAACACACTGGACTAGTGTGTGAGTTTTGCATAAAGATGAATCAGACGTTAAAAAACCTGGAGAAATTACAGCAAATGTCATATTTTTTTTTATCCTGTCTGACCAAAAAGCAGTTGACCTTTAAGGCCAGTCAGATGGTTTGTAACAAAAGCTCTCTTTTTATTTGAATATCCAAAATGTCAGCCGTAAAATCACATGTCCTCAGTCCCATGATACTCTTTAAAACCAAGCAAGAGACGGTGTCATCCTGACAATTGTGCAACAGAACTCTCCGGTCCTGGCTCAGGCCTCCTGGCACATTTGCATAACTAGAAACAAAGTCCCATCCAGCCAGTTAAAGGTTGGTGTATTCATCCATCAGTATGAGGTTTGGCCTTTAAAGGTTTTTGTTATTTATGCAGGAAAATATTTTGCTGAGCATGCATGTCATTTTTCATCCCCGCCCTGTTTCAGATCCAAGCAGTTACACACACTGACACCTGGGAGTTGCCCAAGCACAGCGGATTTCATGTTGGACTTCCCGACTTTCAGGACTAGCACTTTCCCTAACTTGACGTTAGCAGCTCCGTCGTCCAGCCTTCGGCCTGGTCGCGGGTCACGCGGCTGCTCCTTCTGTTTACATGGCATCTTCCTGTCCCCCAGCTGTCAGCAGGTCTTTCACCGTGCCGCCATGTGGCCTCAGAGCTCAGCCAACTAGGCTCTGTTTGTGGTGCAGCGGGGCGAGGGCTCTTTCAGCTGTCTCATTCCTCTGGTGCTGGATAACACTGGGCCCGGCCCACAGGCTCCACTAGACCCATAACTCACCACTGCTGCTCTCCTGCCAGCACCAGGGACTGTGCTGTTCATCCTGTCCAGTGATGCTGTGCTGATGCTGCCATAAACATGCAGATGTTTATGCACTGAACTGAGAGCTGCAGATGTTGGGGTTCTCCAGGATAGTAGTTAATTGTTTTCTCCCAGGTGTTCCTGGTGAGTGTGTGTGCGTTTTCTTCCCAGCATCACGTTTACAAATGACCGGCATTTATGCATCCATAGTCTTTTGTTGGGACTTAAAAGCCGCGCTCAAGGGCAACCTCATACATACAGAGAAAACTAGATAATACAGGATTATGTTAACCGGACCCCAGGGCCCATGACTGTTCAGACTATATCCACTATGTTTTATCACGTTAGTCCTCCATGAGCGTGTACATGTGATGAGCAAGAATGCAGTGTATGCCAGTCTTGCTCTCAGTCCTGCGGTGTCCTCCCACAGCTGCAGGCCGTCCTTTAGCAGAGGCACCAGCCAGACGGGTCATCCCACGGGACCCGGCGGTGGAAACGGCGTCACTCCCTCCCGAGAGGGATCACAGCTGCACTCCATACCTCAGCTTCCTCACCTCACACTGCTTTTCCTGGACAACAAGTCCTTGCTACTGGAGCCCCTCACACAACTGTAACTCCTTTGTCAATGGTCTCAACCTCACCCGAAACGGCGCTGATACCAGCGTGACTCTCCAAATATAAGTAGTGTGGAATTGGTCGCCTGGTTGTGTGAACGGACAGCTTGCAGGCGACCGTTCGTCCTGCAGGGTGGTCTGATTCGACACGGTGAACGAGGGCTTCTGAAGGAATTTTGGGTGAAAGGCTCGGTCAGACCCACAGCCAGGTTGCAATTTATAAACTTCTTTTACCCGGAGAGAGTTTTACTGAACAGACAGAACTCCTTTCTTTAATGCCCTGCTTTCCATTCGTACAATTACCTGAAGGCATATCAGAAAGGAGCCCACTACAAACACACTTTCATTCTGCTGACTTCAAAGCATCAGCAGTGGAGCGACTGGGGGTGATATGCCTTGCTCAAGAGAACCTCTACAGCATTTGTTGAGAGTTGGGAACGGAGTTTCTTTTCAGTTTTGTCACACAGACCTTACCAGACGCTCCGGGGAATAAACTTACTTTTGAAACCTTTCTGACCTTTAGGGTACAACTGTCGAACTCCCTCTTCTGTCTTTTATCACACAGTGGTAATATATCTATATTTGGGGATCAGAATAATATTAAGCTTTTCAGTCATCAGCTATCCCTGTAAATCTACCAGTTTTTCAGTATTATTCCTTTTATTTCAAATGATCAAAGCTTATTTTCAGAACAAGCATTTGCAAACCATGTCACACAAACTCCCACATCCACTGTCTTCTTTCCTGTTGTATAGAATGTTCAGTATTCGGAGCCACTCCTCCATGTTAATACAGTATGTATTGCACCACTAATTTGCTTTGTAAGATCCATGTATCAACATTGTTTAAAGAGCTGATGTATATAGTGGACTGCAGAAAGGATAAACCAGCATCATGTAGAAAGAATATAAGGCGTATTTATAATAATTAAAAAACTGTTAAGCTATCTCACTTGCCTACTGTCAGCTAGTACTCCAATATCCGCCACGCCGATCCCACTTAGCAGGGAGGAGTAATTATCTGTCTATAACACAAGCTCTCTCTCTCTCTCTCTCTCTCTCTCTCTCTCTCTCTCTCTCCACACGCAGACACACTTTCACTTGGTGTTTGTTGTAAAAGAAAGTTGTTTAGCACTAGCTGTTTTTCCCCTCCCCCTCCCTCCTGATGTTTTTCATGACTTTGTTTAGTTTATATAGATTGTATTTGATTAATTGCTTTATTTATTTGATAGCAGATCTGTGCCAAGGGAAAATACCCTTTTATTAAAGTATGAAACTGTTCCTTATAAACACAGTGACTTTTTGGCTCATTTCATTTTATTCCTGTGGACTCTCAAAGGTCAACATTATGTGACAACATTTAGTACAAATATCGAATAGGATAAAATAATGAAGTGATTGCATTTTATATCTAAATTGTCAAAGGTCAGTTTTAGTCTAACATTAAATTTTTTTAAAAAAACCCCACACACTTCTTTAGCCGTTATTAAACACTGTAACTCAGGAATAGGAGACATTTGGTCAGATGCTTAAGTGACCTATGGCTAAGTCCCGCCCTCAAACGCAATGAGCCAATCACAGTGCGTATACCCATTCCCATACACTTGGACATTCTCTGCCTGGACGTTCATTGAAATGCATTACAGAAAGTCAGTTTTGTTCGGTTTTATGAGCTTTTTCGGAGATTTGAAGTTTAAAAACGGTCAAACGCACTCTTAGTAAAGATGGTAAAAAGGCTGTTATCCTTTTCTCATATTATGAGCCAAAAACCTGAACTTCAGTGGCACTTTAACTTGTTGTCTTTGATGGCGACGGCAACGAGATGCGGTTCACAAGTGTACACTGTAACCTGTAAATTTTGGCCTGTAATTTAAACTTTTCATCGACCATCTCAACAATAAAATGATGAATATATCCCTCCAATGCATAGTTTAGGCCATTTTGCTTACTTCTCAATGACATCTGATTGTTATGTCCCCAAAAATCATCAATTGCCTCCTGCGAAATGCTGTGTACTGTGACACCTGCCATAACGCAAGTCACTGAATGTTGATAGTTTGTCCAAGTGAGTACATTGCCCATCTTAAAAACTGTGTACAGCACTGATTGTATAAATCTCCAGGGCTGCCTGGTTGCAAAAAAAGAAGAAAGAAAATACACTAAATACCTTTTATCAAATTCCTTCAAAGTCTTCACTACAGATATTATATGAGTCGGAACAGACATTAATGTAAACTGCAAATTGACTGGTTGGCAGAGGCATAAAACTGTGAGGCGGTAATTCAAGCTTTCTTCTTTATCTGCTCTGAAACCACTTCTAAGCCTCTTCAGGTAGTATTTACAAATTTCACAGGCACATGGAGTCTGTCCAGTTGAAGACCTTCACCTGTGAAAAGTAAAAGATCCTGTAAAATTCACCTAAATGTATCTATCCAGTGCCAGTGTTACTAATAACATGTTACTAGTTATTTCCTTTACCAATAATGAGTAGTGTAACATAAAATTTCAGATATAATATTACATTGACCCCAAAACTAAACAACTCCTTACAATGTTACTTTTGTTATCACATCACTACTGATTTACAACATCACATCAGGGGACTTATTATCGCAATTGTTGTGCTGTGCATGTACGCCACAAAGCAGCAAGCTAGTTTGGAAGATGGAAACACTCATCTTAGCGGTTGGAAATATTCCCATTACTTTGATTTTGTCGAGAGGAAAGATGACAAGAACACTGTTGCTGCAGTCAGTGGTACTTAAACTTTTTCCACTGC